TAAGTATGGGGTACTCTACGTCCAACGTATTGTGGGTGTTTTGTGATGCTTATGTGCCTTATGTTTGTCTCGACTGCGAGTAGGGGATCACAACTAACGTCTATTGGGTGTCACTATGGGCTGAGGTACCGATCCGAGTGTCTAGGAGGTAGGGTTACATATAGAGTGTTGCTTGGTTTACAAGTTGGTTTCTTACTCCACTACAACAAATGAAGTCGGATTCTACGTATGTTTCACCTATGCGTTGTCTACTAAGTTAGTGAGGCATTCCGGGTTGGATTCGAGTTAGCTAGTCAGCCTGGCTTACCCCTTCTTGTGGGGCTAGTTATAGTTCGGAGGGTATCTGAGGCCTATATTGCCGACAATGGTTGTGTCATCAACATTGAGGTGGTGGTACTCTATCTTATCTAGTTCCGTTTAGGCGTCTAGTGAGCATTGAACTCTTTTGACAAGCGCAATGCTTCTTTATCGATCAGTTAGACGCTTTATACAAGGTTAAAGTTGAAAGCGACGATGTCAGTGCCTGCCAATCTTCCAAGCCCTCAAATATCGAGAATAGGGTGTGTCATGTTGCCTTATTTCTAGTCTAGGTGTAATAAAAGGCTCTCCCCAACTAGAAGGATCCATGGACAACGACTATTTCCTCCTGAAATATTGGCGGTAACCAAAATGACCGGAAACCCAGATAGCAGCCCTATTGTTCCATTCCTTGGTGGCAACGTCAATGGCTTCAGTGACCCTTCTGATTGTGGCGCTAACACCAACTGTTCTATGCATTGGGAAAAAATAACTATGACGTTACGCGTGCTCCGCTGCGCGTGCGTCGAAGTGAAACGGTGATTGCTGTGGTGGAAGCAAGCGGTGTCAATGCTTGGAAGGATGAGGTGCTTCCAAAGTGACTTTTTTTGAAACAATTGCAATGTGGCTCCATGAGCACTTCTCGCTGCTGACCTTGTTGAGTCTGTTCGCTCATAGTTGGATGATGGCCTAGAGGCTCGAAATCCTTTGGTGCCAGATGAAGCGGATATTCAACAGCCCTAATAAAAGCACACTTAACGTGCAATTACAGTGTACAAACGCATGATATGACATTTTAGGCTGTGGAACCAGAGATGAAGGAGAAAGAACGCAGGCAATATTAACTCGGCAACCCGGGGTTCACACACACAAGTACAACTACAACGGCGCAAATACGGCTAGAATCACACTACTTCAATAGTGTTTTAGTTACACTGATTCCGTGAACATCAGTGGAACAATGCAGTAATCGGTGCAAGATAGTCTAATTCAACATAAAAGTAGATTGACATTTCAAGTATAATATAAATAAACAATCAACTAATTTTGGTACAATGAAGAAACAATCTGTAACTATCTTTTCACTATGAAAGGATAATAAACAAACTCATCTTTGACTGGTGTCGACATAATCTAACAGGAACAAACAATTTACATATTATTGTAAATCATCAGTTCGTCAATAATTATAGCAACTTGAAAGGTCACATCTGAAAACATTAGCGGCATTGATTCTGAGAATCAAAGAGAAAAATATCTTATCAAACATTAAGAGTGAAGGTACAGATATCTGAAGCACTGAGCTAGACACATAACAAAGAAGCTTTGAATTGAACAGCATGGATGTTTTCTTTTCTTGAGGTGAAATGACATAATGTAAAGTTAACTTGGAAACACATAGCACAATTGGTTTTCTAGCACAGAATACAATTGTTTCTTCATTCTTACAAATCTTTAGTTTCAGAGCCTTAGACAACATGTTCAGAGTTCGAGAGCTTGAGAGCAACATTCAGAATTTCATAGTTCGAAGCCTAAGCTAGAGGAAATGGAAGATTGTACTAATATGTATCTAAAGCAAAGGCACCACATATTGAATTTGAGAATGCCTAAATCAAACTTACATGCACAAGAATCAGCCTGCATCCATGGCGTTTATCACGTCAGTACTAATCCTCCTCCATCGTGGGTAGAAAGATTGTGCAGATTGTGCCTGTAATCATGTGCTGCACATCGCAGCCAACCATCAAGTTCAGGTTCTTTAAAAATATGATGGATAAAACAACTATAGATTAGTACTGGCCAAACAAAGCCATAGACCATATGTATGGTGTAATCCATAGAGCATCAGAAGTAAACAAACCTGTAAATCTGAAAAAGGACACTGTCATCACAGAACTTGCATACTAGATTGGGCATGTACAGAACTATCTTAGGATTATCACCTAAATGTGCTGCTCCAGCAGGAAGGAGTTTGCCATTAACAGAACTTGCATAGTTGAGTTGGCTAACACTGAAATAATCAAAGCAAAGGACAGAACTAAAGGAAGCAAGAATAATTCTGGACAGCTTAGCCTATGATCATACTCTGCACCTATGATCATCAGCCTATATTCGCAAGGTATTTGGGATGTGACTTGAATGACAGGCTATACATCACCCTGCATCGTTGCCACCTGTGAGTATCATATCAGTACATAGCACATAACATGGTTGGACCCTGTCACTTTGAAGTCTAAGCTGCAGTGCAGTCAAATATGCAAGGGTTGTAAAGTATAAAGAAGCATATAGAACAAAGCTCCTGATCGGTAAATGCACACATCAAAATCAGCAAAGTAATAATATAGTTGCGGTCGTAATAAGCATATCCAAGTTTCATCAAACAATAAACAAAGGTAGACCACAAGGGATAAAAGAATTGCATACTGGTTGGCTAGTGGACTACTGTCACAATACCGATACCAATGGACATGGTGATTTGCTTAATTACTGTGACCGACAGTGTATCACCTTGGTAGTGTCATGCAAGGCGATGATAGCGTGGTGCAGCAGTGTGTGACCAACACTCCAGCCAGCTAGCACCAAGCAATGCGTCCGGGAAATGCCTCACTGCCAATGAATACAATCAAGATTTAGTAGGAACCAGTCTATTGGTTGGTCAAGGGAAGCAAAAGACCAAACAGGTGGTGTGCATGAACAAAATGAAAGAGAAGCACCTATTCGTGATGCGGTCCCTCACGTAGCGAGGCAGAATTCTTGGATTTGCTTCGCTCCAGATCTGTAGAGCAGGTCGTGCAACTGTTTGACCCTAAGATTTGCAATAGGAAATCAAAGATGGGTGAAGCAAGGTAACCAAACCAAATCAAAGGCTAGCGTTGGGTACGTACCTAGTGCCTGGCCGCCTTGGTCGTCGCTGCCGCCACCCTGCCTCTGTCCCCGGCCGTGCCTGCCTCCGTCCTGTGTTTGAGCGTAGCCCCGCCTCCCAGATCTAGGAGAAGGATAGAGAGAAGGTGGGAGATAAAGCAAAGTTCGGAGGGCGAAGGCGGATGAAGGCGCAGTGGCAGCGCCGCCAATGTGGATTACGGCAACCGCGGGCTTGGCACAAGGAGGTGGAGGAGAGGGAGCCCGGTGAAAAAAGGGGGAGAAGCGGAGGACGCGGCGGCGTGGAGAAAGGAAGGTGGCGGCGGTCGCCGGCCGGGATCTCGGTCGGAGTCTGCAAGGGGCGAGGGAGGTGGAGCGCATGGAGAGCGACCGGCGGAGGCAGCAAGAGAAGGACCGATGGCGATCCACGTGTGCGCAGTGATTTCTTCGGCGCCGACTAGTGGGCCCTATGGCTAAGCGGTTGACAGCCTCGGTTAGCACGGGCGTGCCTGGGCCGCAACCGGGTAAGGCCGCCCGCATGCACAGCAGCACCGGCACTAGCCGGTCCCTGGCAGACACGTGCGAGCCGGCCATACGCAGACGGGCAGGAGAGGCCCTCGCTCGTGGAGCGTTTCATTACACGTTGAGGGGTCAACTATTCCTTTCCTTCTTATGGCTGAAATGTACCTGAGGTTTCTTTTTTGTTTCTGGTTGCGATTATATATATTCAATATATATGGTTAGCTTTTAGTTCAAATTTATTGCTTAAGTTTAGCTTTTTGGCTACATTGTGGATGCTCATATGCCATCTCCTTAACTACTCATGTTCGAATCTTGGATTCAACATGATGCTCATACTTAAAAGCTTAGGGCTAATTGTTGTCTCTGTAATAGGCAATGAGATGTTATTGATGGCTTTGTCAATCGTAAAATTTAACCATCTATTTCGTTATAGGATTATGCATGGTTACATACGTACACTTACACGTGAGCGTCTACGCGTTGGCTCCATTTGGCAAACAAAAGAGTTGTATTGGGGACAAATATTGCGAAATAAATAGGCAAAATCATGGAAGTATCTCATTTGTCATATGTATTTTGATGAAAGTCCAGGGGTGTTAGCAAAAATCAGTAAACCACCCATGTAGTGCCTAGTGCCTAGTCAGAGACGACTATTTCCTACTGACATGTGGGGTCACTAAACATGGCCAAGCATGTCAGTCACATATCTAATAAGTTATGTAATGCCTAACTCTGTATTCCTAATTCTTCCTCGCTCTTTTTTTTCCACTAGTCCTTCGGGCGCGCCCATGCGTGCGGGCCACTGGCCACACGTTTTTTTGGGGGGAAAAAAGATATAATCAAAGTTGTCTTGTATGTTGATTTGAGAAAAATCCGAGGAGGTTTTCGCAAAAAATGATGAGAGGGTTTGTGGAGCGCGGGTTGATTTTCGACGAAGATAAAGGTTTTTTTGAAAAAAAAAACCCGGAGGCCATCCGTTCTAGACCGCGGGTTTATTTCAAAATAATCTGAGGTGTTTTTTGTAAAATATCCTGAGAGGGACTCTGGAGCGTGGGTTGATTTCCAGAAAAAAGAAGGGTATTTTTGAAAAATGACCGCGGCTCGACCGATCTAGGCCGTCCGCGCGGCCGATCGAACGGCCACGAAAAGCAGACAACGTGGCACGCTGAGTGACCGGCTACTATTTACGCTTTCTTGTCTTTAGATTTGCCACCCCCAACTCCTGAAGGCCCATTTCGTCGTCTCTGCTCCCTCGGTCCCTCCCCCCCTTCTCCCCCGCCCCTTTCCCCTCACCTCGCCATCTCCTTTCTCCTCACCTCGCCATGTCGTTCTTCTCTCACCACCATCTCCAGCAGCCAAACCCGCAGCAGGCGCCGCCGCCGCATCAGCAGCAGCCGGTGCTTCCTTCCTTCAGGTGAATGCTCGACCTCAATTTTATTTGCACCCGTTCTCTCGAGAATTGCTGTTTAAGGTGAGAATTGCGCTGAATTTCCTCTTCGGATGCCGCAATTCTGGGCAGGAACGCGCTACCGGTGCCTGTGGATGGCCAGATCCCAGCGCCCCTCACCTTCTTCAACCCGCCGCCTGCCTTCCCGGAGCAGCCCGCGCAGGCACCGCGTGAGTTTTCTCCGCGAATCCTCTCTCCGCTTCTTGGAATTCCGCTTAAATTGGCGCTGATTTTGGAGGAGTTTCGCTCTGTTCTGGGCAGTGGTGGATGCGATGGGGCTGACGGCAGCTGCGGGGCTCGGGTGGAGGCAGCCGAGGGAGCAGGAACTGCTTGGGGAAAACTCCCAGATGTCATCCATCGATTTTCTGCAAACGGGCTCGGCAGTGTCGACGGGGCTGGCGCTGTCTCTGGAGGACCGGCGCCACGGCAGTGGCGGGGCTGGGAACTCCTCCGGCGATTCACCGCTGCTCCTGCTGCCTATGCTGGACGATGACATCTCACGCGAGGTCCAGCGGCTTGACGCTGATATGGACCGCTTCATTAAAGCTCAGGTGACCAGCTCATCTTTCTTGCTAACAAACGTAATTGTTGATGCATTGCAGTGCCGGTGTGCAACTGTGTGCTTTGTGTGGGCGTCCTCAATCTAGTCATGTAACTGTTTTGGGAACTTATCGAAGGCCTAGTGTTTGCATGCCGTGTTCACTAATCTGGGTGTACATAGATAGTATTTGGTAAGGTTGCCAAGGGAGCACATAGATAGTCTCTAGATCGAGCTTTGACATCATTTCCTCTTTTATGTCTGATTTAGCATCCAGGTTCCCTTCTCGCTCATTTCCGTTTTGGTATTTAGTCTTTGTTCAGCATCACAATTAATATCAGGTTAAACTTGATGCCAGCAGAATAGGAGTGCAATTTGATAACACTAATATCTATGAATGAAGCATGCTGGGGTAGATTTTGCAGTTTCAAGTATAAGACAGTAACACACTAACACATGAAGGAAACTGAAGTGCAAAAGGAGCATCCGCCCGCCCCCCCCCCCCCCCCCCCCTAGAACAACGCAGTTTGTGTCATTTCATTAAGAAGAGAAAAAAATATAGGATGATTTTCAGTAGAAATGAATCTGGATATTCTTCTCCACGTATGTTGCACAGGTGTAGGGACCCTCCGTGATCCATGACCAAAAGTGCAAGATATTTGTATTTACCTAATAACTACAAAACAAAGTCTTATCTGTGCCATTATGTATTTTTAGGCCTTATGCTTGATATGGTTGTATTATTATTGATGCATAAATAAAAATTTTATTAGTGCAAGACATCTTTCATGTGCGTTGGGTTTCTTAGTTCATATCTAACTACATGATAGCCGCACATTGCTGCAAGAATTTTATAGACTTTTTAGGATGAGAATTCATGGAGTTAGAAATAAAGGGATTTGTGGTAGAAAATCATTTTGTAATATAGTTGTGCAATCGTCTAAACTGGTAGGACAAAAAAATGTTGATTGTTTAAAGAATGTTGAGGGCAAAAATTAATTGGAAAAGTATCGTCAATGCATAAACCACAGTTGCACTTATGCCTCAAAAGTACTAATTAGTAAGTGGCATCAAAAGATGTTAAACAAAGCTGCATGTCAGCACTCAGCAGTCATGTCTGCCCAAATGAACACGCTGATGCAGATGGAAATGACGCTACTTGCCTGCATGCCATTGTCATTCGTCATCATGCTCCACACGATCGGATTAACCCTGCAGATGAGCCTTCAGGCACTGAATCTCAGCACCAGCCACTTCTCTGGCCCTAGGACCTCATCTCCCGCATGTGCCATAGCCGCGCTCTGGCCCAGGCACCAGCATAACCACACACCAGCTCCCAGCCGCCATGGCACTGCCGCATCTGCACCGCACCACCTCCAGCCCACCATGCACTTCCACCATGGCCTGCAGAACTGTCGATGCAATTACTAATTTCACGCCGAGGATGCCCACTTGCGCACAGGCCACAATGACGATGCAAATCCCGTGCAGCTTGCACGCGCTCCATGTGAATTGCGGCCAACAGATGCACGGGTGGAGGAAGTGTTCGGGGAGAGCTGAGGATGTTGACAGAAAGCTCGGGGAGGCTGCGCTGGGGGTGCCAGGCCTCCTGCTCCATCATGCCCATGCGGTGGAAGGCGTGCTGCTATCTGAGGCTTTGGTTGATGACGCGCAGCTGTGGGATCTCACCCTTGGTGAGCCCTGAGATGGTGCCAGGCTGCCGGCACCCTTCTCGCCCAGCAGCTCGTCCATGTTTTGCAGCTGCGACACGATGGTATCCTTGAGGCACCGGAAGTGCCGTGACATGGCTTTCTGCGCCAGCGCTCTGTATAGGGTCATCGCGCCAAACCCCATCACTGAGTTGAAGAAGTTCACCGCCATCTGCATCTGGATCATGCATATCAAACCAAACAAACAAAAATTACTTCTTCCATCCATCAGATAATTTATTTACGATTCATCCTTAGTAAAGCAAAGTAATTGAGACATGAAAAGGAAACCTTGGAGAGGGGAGATGAATGGCTCAGGCCATGTGAATTGCGACCAACAGATGCATGAAGGAATATAAATACCATCATCAGTCGACCGCTCAATTGCCTGGCAGTTCCTGATGCATCGATTGCTGGGAGTGGGAGTGGTTTCCTCATGCATCAGTTGCTGGGAGTCGGTGTGCCCGTGTCTCTTCTAAGTCCGAGGAACGAAATATGCTAGTGGGGGTCTCCTATTTAGGTATAGTAGATTACACATTGCAGTTACATGATCATAGGATAATTGATCAATTAATTAATGAGGTATATATATAACTGTAACATGAGGCCATTGTAGCGTATCTTCACCAATTTCCCTAATGACCTAATGATGTGTCCGACTATGATTTTGCTCCTGAGTTGTCATTTTGGTGTGTGACTTCTTGGTGTTCAGGTTTCAGAAGAAGTCATTGTTGTAAATGATATTAACCTTGTGGGTTGCAATTCTTCCTGATAGTGTTTAACATCTTCATATTGAAAGGTCTTTTTTCTATTTGTTTTAAGAAGGATGACAAATGTTATGAATGTGGTTGCTGTGACGACAACCCTGCCACCCCTTTTATGATTGAGGAACAGCAGTTAAAAAAGGAGAGGGTGTACCCAGTTCTAAAACCTCCCACATATTGTGGGACTGGAGGAGGGAAATTTCTAGGCAGACTTACCCTCAATTTTTTTTAACAAGGAGGCTGATTTGAACCAAGACCTCCAGGACATAAGTAGAGAAACTATTGTACAATTTGGTGCCCAAATTCTCCATGATCTCCCCCTTACTATATCTCTGGATTTCCTCCTGAAATGTTAATTTTATCTAAGTAGACACTGTATAAACTCCATATTACTTGATGGCACTTATTTCTAGCTGAACTACCTCCAAGTGAATTGTTTCCAATGATTTTCTTGAGTACAGATTACTTGCTTGTTGAGTTGCACGGCTGCACCACTGAGGATGCAATGAGATTCATGCTACTGCTAGTACACATCCTGACAGGGGCAGACCCAGAATTTTTCCATGGGGTATGCCGCACCAAAATTTTCACATGCAACTTGGTAAATACATTTAGCGATTCAATAATCAACCTTAAAATTGCTGTGCAATTTGGCATACAAGTACTAAATAACACAATAAATCTCAAATTGAACAGTTAAATTAACTTCATCAATTACAATAAAATAGTTCAAACAACATACTAATGGTTCGAAATGTGTATAAATATATCTACATCTAGATATCTAGTCATCTACTGTCACCTAGGGGCTAGGGTTTGCATATATGTTGGGGAGTTGCCAAGTTGGGGCAGCCGCACAGGGGCTGCTGCGGTGATGCTGCCAGCAGGATTTGGTGTGGAGAAGTGCACCGGTCTCCAGTCAATCCACCACCTCCGATTGCGCTTCAACTGGATTTGGTGAGGAGAAAAGTTAGGGACTGGAGTTTGGAGAGGAGGCTTGTGGGGGATTTACAAAGGGCGGGCAGAGGATCCTCACTGGCAGGAGGCACTTTGATTCTGGCGGTGGCCGGCGATGGCCGGAAGCTCTGGGTCGCCCACTCGGCCTTCGCTTCCAGCGTTGCGGGCAGTGGAGGGGACATAGCGCTGTGTTGAACGGAGGAGACGAGCGGCTGAGCGTGCGGTAGATGTTTTTTGTACCAAGTGATAGATGGGCCTGCTGCGCTTTCTTAGGGTATGCTGGGCCATGCCCGGATAGCCCACTGGGTCTGTCCATGCATCCTGATGCAGCTTCAGTGGTGTATGGATGCGCATGCCCCTGGGGAGACATGATTTTCCTGACTTAATGGAAGTTATATGTTTGAATCCTGCTTGGTATGAAAAAAAAATTCTGTTTTTTGGGCAAAAAAAAAGTTATTAGTACAATGGTGTTGCATGGGCTTCACTTTTGGATGATAGCTTGTGGGGATTTGGTCATCAGCCTTCACCATTGAATCAAGCAAGCCAATGCTATATCATGATTGTTTGTGCATTTCGTTGAGGATTTCATATGTTATTGCAAGCATTAGTTGTGAATGCTTGTGATTAGTGATCTAGCTGTCCATATTTTAATATTAGAGATAACCTTGTAGCCTCCTTAGTGCTTAGACTGATGGTTAAAGGATGAGTATAAAGCCAATCCCAGTTTTATTTCTCATGTTACTGTCCTTTGCCTGTAATGCTGACGCTGAATGCATTAGGCATGGATGGGCCAAATGAACTGGTGTATGCAACATGATTTAAAAATCTAATGAATCCTCATTGATGGTAGAATACTTAGTCTTTTGAGCAGATCTGGACTTCTGGAGATGGAGGTGTGTTCATGTACTTGTACATTGGCTGGTGTGAACTATTTTTTAAAAAGTTTGCACAATTGGTCATGATGGTTTCATTTGAAGTAGGTACTTAGCAATGGAAAAAATGCTTTATGGTGGAAATACATGTGTTGATTTTACTTTAAAACCACAGCATAGAGTTCAATAATTGAAGTGGAGGGGATAAAGAAAAAGAGGGTATGGGCAATAGTGTGGAAACCAGGAAAGTTGGGAAGCTTGGTTGCATGTGCTTCAGTTGAGGCGTCAAACTTTACATCTCGTAGCAATGCACTCAGAGCACACGCGTCTGTATGTGGCAATAGAGTTTCTCAGGCCAGTAGGCAGACCTGTAAAAAACACTCAGGCCCTGTTTGGATGTTGCAGTATTATAAAACTATAGTATCTAGAAACCACAGTTTTAAAGACCACAGCCATGTAATACCATAGTATTTAGAAACTAGAGTTTTTCTCTGTTTTAGAAAAAACTATGACGCGTGATGTGTTTGGCTGTTGTAGTATTGTTGCCGGCAATTTCAAATGGTCCGGCTGCCGGCGACGTACAAATATAAGAGCATCTGCTCTTTATACAGCAAGAGAAATCTATTATTTAAAAATAATGATACTATGAGTAGTCAAACTTGATCCTTAATGCATGCATCTGGCTTAACTGCAACTGCCATGCAAGGTTATCCACGGATCACAATTATTTCTATTCCTACTAGTCATGCCGTCCTTGTCTCCACTTGCCATGGAAGCCAAAGGTGGGCGATTTGTTCCCTGGTTCGAAGAAAGGGAAACATGGAAACAAAAGGACTGTGCGCATGGAAAGAAAAAGGGCGCGAAGTGAAAATGAGACACGTGGTGGACGCACGTCGCGCGCGCAGAACCTCCGTCAAAAATAAAGAGGTCTGGGACGGAGTTTTGTGGATTTCAAAAAAAACTGCGGTTTTGTTAATACTGTTGTTTGTAAAACTCCAAATTATTTACATCCAAACACCTTCTTTCTTTCAGATACCTGGGTATTTTTAAAAACCACGGTATTGATCTAAAACTCCAAAAAAAACTGAGCATCCAAACAGGGCCTCAGTGACATATTCTTATGCTTTCTACATTCTGAGAATGATGTTGCTATTTTGAAAGTTTTCCAAATCCTTCAAAGGAACTAGAGTAGGAGAGGACTTTGCGAAACATTGAAAGAAATGAGATACACTGGCAGAGGAGCAAGTATTACAGATGCCAATATATGTCACTTCAACATTCTATTCTCATTTGCAGCATTCCAGTTTTATTATTTAGTTCTACCTTTTGATACAGTATTTGGTTAATTGTTCTATCCAAAGTCCGAACTTGGCTATCAATGCCTAGAGTACTGGATGCCTGAACTATCTTGTTTTTAGGAAGCAATGCAAGATTTTTAAGCCTTGATGAATTAGTTATGCACTGCTTTATTTCTTAATTCTTGCAGTTTGGTCCCCAGTAAGGTTACTTTAGGTCGTAGCACTAAGGTTTGTTGCTAAATAGGATTCTGTATCAGTTTGTTTGGGTTGAACACTTATGTGCAGCGTTCGCTTAAATTTGTTTAAACCGCCCTCTACACACTAGACACTAAACTGTGGGTATATGTGTAGTTTATGCTTTAAACGGTGAATTAAACAAAAAATCTTTAAACGGTCAAAGCATTAAAAACAGTTTAAACAGTGTGTTTAAATGTGATTTAAATGTTTGAAGCGTCTAAATGACTGTCTTGGTGATAGAGAACTGACTCGTTAAAACTATTTGATATTTGATTCTTGTTAGAACTTAATGTCTAATGTAATGTTATTGCGTAATGACACCTAACCATTAAACCCCAACTTGTTTGGGACTTAAAGGCGTTGTTGTTGTGACACCTAACCATTAACTAGTGAGAACTACATGTGTACTATCTATGTCATTATCCTGTCTAATGTCGATGTCTTATTATGTAACTGTGTGCATGTCTCAAGCCACATTTAAAAAAATTTACTATATGGAATTATAGTGTTTTTATGCATATTTATTACTAAAGTGCAAATTGTTTAAACCATCTAATTTATCGTCTACATTGACTAAACGCTAAACGAAGGGTTACCTACCGTCTAGCATTTTGCGTCTAGGAAAGCACTGCTTATGCAGATGTCTAGATCTCATGTCAAACCTTACCTGGGTGATTATTACTGTTAAAAAATAAGCTTGACATTCTTTGTTTGATACTTGTTTTAGAGTTCTACTTCTAACGTTCTTTAATTTTCAGAGTGAACGGCTGAGGCAATCTATACTGGAGAAAGTTCAGGCAAAGCAATTTGAGGCACTGGCCTCAGTTGAGGACAAGATACTCAGAAAAATACGGGATAAAGAGGCAGAAGTGGAGACCATCAACAAAAGGAACTCTGAACTAGAGGACCAGATTAAGCATTTGGGAGTGGAAGTTGGTGCTTGGCAGCAAAGGGCCAAGTACAACGAGAGCATGATCAATGCACTCAAGTACAACTTGGAACAGGTATGTGCTCATCAGAGCAAGGATTTCAAGGAAGGCTGCGGCGATAGTGAGGTAGATGACACGGCGTCCTGTCGCAATGGTGGTGCTGTCAATTTGCAACTGACGCCGAAGGAGAACAGACAACAGAAGGATTTGACGGCTTGCAGGGTCTGTAAATCAAGTGGGGCATGCATGCTCTTGCTGCCTTGTCGGCATCTTTGTCTATGCAAGGAGTGCGAGAGCAAGCTGAGCTTATGCCCCCTGTGCCAGTCATCCAAGATACTTGGCATGGAGATATATTATGCGTAGAATAGAATTTATGTATCACATGAGTATCTTACGAGATACTGCTATGTTAATACGTCAATGTATTGCAAACTTTAGAACCTATTTTCCACTATGACTTGCCACTTTATCTAAAAAGACTGCCGTTTATGGTAGATTTACCGCAGCAAATTTCTTTGAGAAGCTCATGCTTGATTTCTGCTCCTAGTAAACTTCTTGGCAGAGTCTGTCTTGTGCGACTAGTTGTTACCATCTATCTATGTATTTCCATCAGCGGACCTGTTTGGAACTCCGGAAATTTCCCCAATTCCTGTGTTTTCGCTGCTAAATTGAATTGATTTCTGTTAAATTTCTATATGATTTTTGTGAAATCCCTATAGTCCAAACATGGCCCCAAAGTGCGGCTGTCCTCTCCTCTCTTTCTATGGGCAAGTGCTATATAACTCCAAAGTAAGCGAAGTTATCCTATGCCATAAGGTTTTGTAAATTTTTAAATACCTGTAAAATAAGAAGTCTAAGTGCTGTGTGAAATGCAAAGCATCTTCCATTGAATTGATCATTTGGATATTCAACAGACCAATCTCTTAAAAAGAGTACGCTGCAGCTGCTGCTTTCAGATCTCGGGTCCCTGGCAATGACTTGTACTTGCAAGCTCATTCTACCAAAAAGAACTCGAAAATTTTGTTTGCCGTACACGCATAAGCTATGCCATTTGATTACCTATCTTGGGGCGGATTCCGGCAATTATGACCTGGTAGTTAGCAGAAAGCACCAATAGCCTTGTCTTTCAAGCCCAGCAAATCAATTGCTTAGCCACTCAGACCCTCCTCCCCTGATGCCTGTTGACCCGGCTATCTCATCATAGGTTAGGGTAATGGCATGGGTGTATTCAGTAGAGGAGAAATGTATAGTGCTTGCTAGCTCGAGAGAACTCGATTCTTCAGATACGCCCTACCAATATATCTTTTGTTTAGATTCTGACTCTAGCTCTACACGGACTATAAAAAACCAGACAGTCAGACATAAATCAACACAAATCGCCCCCGTGCCCCAGATGAGATGGTATTGTTATTCCCCCACAATCCCACAAAAATAGTGGTAGACGGCGATGCCTTGGACAGCTGTACTCCCGCCCAGCTTGTCCAGTTGCGTTTTGACGCCTCAGAAATCCAAATCAACGGTCCCAACAAAGGTACCGGGGCCCGGACCACGCCAGCTTTGCCGGCACCACCCCCAGCTCGGCCGGCCCCCTGCCGCTGTCGCCGCAGCTGTACCATACCGCCACTCGCCCACTCCTCCACTAGTCCACAGCAGCACAGCGACGCACCCTGGCCGCCATCGGCGAGCTGCTAGCGTATCTTGTGTGGCTCCAGCCCAAACCCTATATATGGCCATGCAGCTCGAGCCCGTCGACCCGGCCTAAGGACCGTTTTTTTTTTTGTCCGGCCCAAGCACGACCGGCCCGGCGACGAGCGGGCCTGGGCTGACATGGCCCGGAGGAGCAGGCCGTGCCTAGGCCTTACCCCAAGCACGTGGGGCGGCACAGCACGACCCGCTCCTCAACGGCAGGCCTGTTGGTGGCCTGGCCTGCCACCAGCCGGCCCCTTCCCCGCACCCCCGCTCGAGTATATAAGCGGGGAGCGTCGGCTGAGCCGCTCGCCCGCTCTCAACCCTAACACTAATCCCCACTCAGTCTCTCTCGCTCGCCGCGGCGCAATCTCTGCTCTCTCGCCTGCATCGGCCGCATCCACGATCTGGCAAATCTGAGCTCTCTCTCGTCCGTCGTCCCCGACTACGGTGACCTCAATCCGCCTGTCTGACCCTGTCTCAACTCTCCTCCCTTCTCCCTCTTTCCTCGACCTCTCGCTCTCGATGAACTATATGAGTTCGTGACCGTGTTCCCGTTCGTCCCTCCTCCGCCGTTCGTCGTCGTTTCTAATCGGTGTCTCTCCTCTAGGTGGCCCTCGTCATCTCCGGCATCGGACTCCGGTTGCGCAGGTATTCCACAAACTCTAACCCTAGATCTGTCTTCTTGTGTCTCTGAGACTAAGTGACTGACCCTGGATCTGGATCTCTATCTCTCTGTTTTTCTCCTCCGCGCAGGTCGGTTGCCGATGCCTCGTCCTCTTCCTGTGGCATAGATCGGGCACGGCGGCCGCGCGCACCGTTAAGGAACGGTGCTGGAGATCAACCGTCCGCGGTCAAGGTCGCCATGGCGGATGACGACGATGTCGTCTATCCACTTACCGACAACGATGACCTGATCGCGACAGGGCTGGTCCCCGAGGACGACGACGACATCTATGACGACGCTGCTACGTTGTTGGGTATCGATGTCGGTAGGGGCTCTGCTCTGATCGATCTGGACGGCGGCGACGGTGATGGAGGGGCGGCGCCGGCACCGTCTGCGACGGCGACAAGGACGCCGGTCGGCTCCAACAGCACAGATGGTATCTCATCTGTTGGTAAGTGTAAATCTGGTGTCTGGATTGATTTTGATGAGATCTATGCGATTGTGAATGGTTCATAGATTTGAACTGCTGCTATTTGTAAAATGTGTAAGAGTAAATTGTCTGCTAGATCTTATGCTGGCACTGGCCATTTGATTAGGCACCAGAAATCTTATAGAAAAAAGGCTGATCACGCTGCTAGGGTTCAGTCTAGACTTTCTTTCAATCCTGATGGATCTGTGCATAACTGGGACTACAATCCTGTTGTTGCTCGATCTGAGTTGTGTCGATTGATTGCTAGGCTTGACCTTCCATTAGGTAAAGGTGAGACATAGGCCTGGAAGGATTACATTGTTCTTGCTTATAACCCTAGGTTTGCTAAGGTTTCTAGACAGACCACCACTAGAGATCTTGGTAAGCTGCTTACTGAACGTCGTGATATGCTTAAGAATTTTGTGTTGCCTGCTGCTTCTTCTGTTGCTTTGACTTCAGACATTTGGTCTGATAATACTAATGAGGACTATATTAGTGTTTGTTACTCACTATGTGAATGCTGATTGGGAGTTACAGAAAGGGTTATTGGTCTTAGGCTGATTGAGGTTAAATATTCTGGTGAAAACATTGCTGAAAGAATTGTTGTTGTGGTTGAGGAGTATTGTCTGATTAACAAGATTTTCTCTCACTCTAGACAATGCTTCTTCTAATGTTAAGGCTATGAACACTTTGACATCTCTATTGGCTGGTTACTTGGGTCCTGATCCTTTAATACTAGTAACCGTAAGTACAGTCTTGTACATTAACGTTGTGCTTGTCATATCATTAATCTCATTGTAAAATCTAGATTAAAGAGGTTGAAACCTTACACAGAAGATTTTAGAACTGCAATTAACTTCTTAAATTCCTCTAATCAAATAATTGCATTGTTCAAGAAATACTATAATACTAAGGGTGTTAGACCTAGAAAGTTTAGCTTGGATATGAATGTTAGATGAAATTCTACTTACCTGATGCTTAAACACTTGCTTCTATATAAGAATGTTTTTTCTATGTTCATTAATTCTCATTATGGTTCACAATTATTGACTATAAATTATTAGTATGTTGCTGAGAAGTTATTGGAGTTCCTCGAACTCTTCTATGACTCCACTGTTGTTCTGATTGGTGTTTATTATCCTACAAGTCCACTTGTTCTACACCATATCCTAGAGATTGCTTTTCATTTACATGCATGTGAAAAAGATCAAAATCTGAGAGCTATTGTATATCCTATAAAGCTTAAATTTCTTAAATATTGGCAAGATATACCTCTGTTATATTCATATGCATTCATTCTTGATCCTAGAGCTAAGATGAGAAGTTTCTTTAATGTGCTGTAATTACTTGGTGAATACACTGATTCTGAGTACAGTTCATACTATGCTGATGTCAAAACTGAATTGTATAAACTGTTTAACAAATATGAGAGTAAGTTTGGTGTAGCTAGGTCTCAAATGGTTGCACAACCATTAAATCATACAGGTGAGAAAAAGCAAGCATGGGGAAGAATCTTTGGCCATAGATCAGGTGTTGTTGGTCATTCCCCTCTCTCTGCCACTTCATCTTTCATCTACTTCTGTTGTTTGTGAGCTCTCAGCTTACTTAGACAGTAACAATGCCATTTCTTACGAGGATGATTTTGACCTATTTCTATGGTGGCGTGACCACAAGCTAACATTTCCAATCCTGTCTATAATGATTAGAGATATCATATCAGTTCCTGTATCTACTGTCTCTTCGGAGTCTTGTTTCAGTTTAACTGGCAGGATAATTGAGGAACGGCGGCGGCGCTTGTCACCAGAGACTGTGGAGATGCTAACCTGCATAAAGGACTGGGAGTTAGGAGAAAAAAGGGAACAATATCCTGTTAACAACCAAGAGCTGGAAGACTCATTCAAGAACTTATACCTTGATGAAGATGAAGCTGCTGGTGGTGCTCCTGGTACTTAGTGAGGTTGAGACTTGACTCTTGAGAGTGTGAATGTGATCTATGACTGTGAAAGAGTGAGTGTGATATGTGATCTGAGACTTGTCTATCATTTGAACAATAGTGTTTGTAAGACTTAATTAAGAGCTGGATGTACTCTTTTTTTTTTCTTTCTAGGGTTTTTCACAAGGGTGAGTTTTATCTAGAAAGGTTTTTAATGAGGCAACATTGCACTAAACAACTCGTTTTGGTTATTTCTGTTATCTGTTGGCTTTGGAGTTTGATATCTCTGTTGGACTGTGAATGTATTGGACTTTGATTCTGTATCAGTATGATTCTGTGAATGAAATGAAAGTATGAAACTGTGAATGTATTGGACTTTGATTCTGTGAATGCAAGTGTAACGGGTTGTAGGCTGGCACGGTCCGTAATTCTAGTCGTGCTTAGTGGGCCGACACAACGCGAAAAACGGTCCATAGTGCCATGCCTGGGCCGAAGGCCAGACCCATGGCCCTGAGAGACACGGCTCGGGAGGCCAGGCCCGGCCCGTTGTCCATCTATACCAAACTCGCGCCGATGTTGACCAGGCGGAGCGCCCTATCCATGTGAGC